TAAAATTTTCTTGTATCAATTTTACCGAAATGTATTTTATCAAATCACACATTCTTACGAAAAATTCCTTAATGGAAGATTCGATTTGTGAACATCTTTTTCAGTAGTGCTCGTCTTTATAAAACATATGGGGGGACGTTACAACACCAATTACGAGATTACAATTTAAATAATAAAAATAAAAAATGATCAAAAAAGGTATTGAAATCATCTGAAACAAATATTTATACGAAACATAAACATCATATTTAATATTCAGACAGACACAAAATATTTCTCTCTGAGATTTCCATTATTTACCGTTTTACTGAGGGAAAACGCAGTAACTGCAAACCCAATAACTAATACATTTAGGAAGAAAAGTCACAGATAGTATTTAACAGACAATGACTAAACAGCTACATGGCACACAACCAAGAATTACTGTAAATCTCTTTAACTGTGTTTTGATAAAGAATAACACTCAATGAGGCAGTTTAGAAATTACTTTTGTTAAATTGTTAACTAAATTAACATTAGATTTTTTCTTACAGCATGGCTCATTCCCTTCAACTCATAAATAGTATAAAAAATAACTTTACTCACACTCTACTAGTATCACAAGTTGATTAATCACGATTATTTGCTTGTCAATAGATAGTGATCTGAAACACGGTGTCAGATGCAATCTGTCGCAGTTTCTGAACTGTCAATTATGGCAAGCAAGTGATTGAGAAGCAATCACTTAAACAAGCAAATACAGACATCTGAACGTTCAATGTGGGGAAGACTCTACTCAAAGGGAATTCATTACGCAATGTAGGCGTAACACAAGGTTCTTGGAAAAGGCGTGGGCGACAGGTTAGTCGTGTGCTCAGGAAACAGAGTGGCAGCAAGTACGTCGAAACAAACAGATTCCCCACGCACGCTAACTAGTGAGCACGCCAGGAGAAATGAGAACTTTGAGGTGGGAACGGGGAAAGGTAACTCGAATTGGCGGAGTAAGTCAACCCACGGAGAAACAATGGATTGCGTGTCACATTTCGAAGGGATGAAAAATTAAATTAGCAACTTATATAATGCAACAATGAATTATTTAATATTACGTCCGGCAAATGTTTCGAATATTACCCCGGGTTCATTAAGGATAATTATTTGTACAGATTTCAAGAGAAAGCATAAAGTAAGAAAGTATTTGCTATTTTTCAAAAGAAATAGTAATTTTTATTTTAGAAGACGATAAAGAGATATATTATCAACGAGGGGAAGGTAGGGTACTGCGTCTGGACGATGATAGAGAGTGAGCTGCTGTTATCATTTAACATGAAATATCTTTATTTTTAATTGTTATATTACGTCAGAACAAACAGAACGTTGCACTGCTACTCAGAGTGCGTTACCGTCTGGACCATCCACAGAGGAGACAACACATTTACCTTTTATAAGCAATAAAGACTTTACCAGCAATTTTTGGTCATTTTGAAACGTCCTTAAATTTATCAATAAAATTCATGTAGTTTAATGACGTGTAATTGCAACAATTTATAGCTAAACCCTATATCCATAATGTTAATTACTTAAAAAATATCAGAATAAAATTCTGAAAAATATGGGCCAAGGTATGAGGTAAGTCCAAATTAGCACACAGGCTTTTCTCAGATCACGCTGATAATGCCAGAAATCTACCATCAATAGACGATTTTGGTAATAAGGTTTATCAAAGGAATGAAGTCAATAATTCTATAGTGTAGATGGTATCTGCATTTCCACGAGAAACTTATTTATTTATGCACCCCGATAACGTCGACAAATGTCTATCAGAAAATTTCGACACATTTACAGTCTACAACGGGTACCTATGGGTTGCAACTACAACGGGTTAATTTCTGGCGTAATATTTATCTTAAGGATGGCGAATATTGATTGCCATCTCGTAAATAGATGATATTTTCGGACATTAAAAACCAATTATACACCACAATGCAGAACTGGACAGTTCTCGGCATTTTCGTTAATTGCAGATATAGAATACGGTCAATGAAAATGTCTAATGTTTTATAACCCTTTAGTAAGTTCTCTTTATTACACTACTTTAAATGACATTGTTTTCTTCGAATTTTTGCAATATATGAAGAAAGTTGATTCAATGAAACATGGGAAGAAAGCTTACTAGCAGTCGAAATGCTTAATGTTCTTCACAGACACTTCAAATTTACTTACAGAAACTTTGAAATATCTACATAAATACGTTAAAAATTGTAAAAAAATGAAATGAATACAAAATTGCAGTAATATAACTCGTTGGTGGCGTGCTTTGTAGAAGAGAATACTTCGAGATGATTTGCTGTGGCGTACCCTTTAACTAGTCATGGAAGTTATACCCGTTACGTTAATAGTCTTTATTAACATATCTACGAGAATAAATATTAACAAGGTTGGAGACCAACGAGGCTTGACTAGCCGACATCACTAATTAGATCGCTGCTGACGTAGATACCTTCTAATATTATGATAAATAAAAGATGTTGTCTGGTATCAATAATTTTATTAGGCTTATGATCGTTCCGATCGTATAGCCATTATCCTCAGAGCTTGCAGAACTTTGTTTTCGGCCCGGAAGCTTCAAGCTCTGAGGATGATCGCTCTGTGACCGAAACGATCATAAGCTTAATAAAATTTTTGATACCAGACAACATCCATTATTTATCGTAAATATTAACTAGGTCAAACCTGTTTATTTTCCCTCAGGAACGAATATTATTACCGTTCACCATAAAGCAATGCAATACCCAAACATTTCATGTAGTAAATGAAGTCTTCAACACTCTATCGAGAGTAATTAATACTTTTATTCAAGAACTTTCTCAGTATCGTACAGCCAATAACATTGTAAAAAAACAGAAACACTCACTAAAAATTAAAAATATGCAAAAGATATTTGGCATGCAAGGCAGACACACAAATACCTAGGTTCTAAGAAGAGTTTGAAATTATAGATAATTTGATTTATTAATTACATATATATACAAGCGATATAACCTTCTCATAGAAATGAGCCAAGAAAAACAATAGTGTGATACAGTGATAGTGTGAACAGACAGTGCATCATTCAATGAATCAAACAGTCGCAGAAACCAAGCATATTAAGATCAAATTATGACGCAGCACACAACTAACATAAAAAAGTGAAAAAAGTACAAAGGACTATGCACATCACTTCCACTTAGTCATACAATATCAGAATTTCCTCTAAACACGCTCCAGGATAAAACGATAGTAGCAGTAAGCTGTATCATGTAGCGAGAATACGTAGTTGATAGCATGGAAATATATTCCTGCAAGTCAGTAATGCATGTTAGTACTAGAAAAATAAGAGTAACTGCTCTCAATTACCATAAGGATAATCATATTCATTATAAAGGAAGCTTTGCTAAAAGAGTGACACGTCTTCAACTGCATGCATTAGTAAATCATGTCACAATATTCAGTACTTGGAGCGGAGCGTTTACCTTACTTTGTTGATTAGCAAAAAGAATCATAAAAACTACTGGCATATGCATAAAAGTTTGGTGGCGTGTGTGGAAGTGGAAATATGATGTAATATGTAGGCCTACCATTCAGTTCAATTTAGCAATTGGAAAGTGCACACAAAAAATCCATATTTTACGTACATCGCATAAAACCATATTATAATCAGACCTGTCAAATAATCGTTTCTATATTTCAAAACGAACATTTTGCGAAAACCTTACGCAATATAGAAACATAGAACACATTTTCTTTGTGACAGCAATAATACTATATTCATTTTATAAAGAGAAGAGTTTCTTTGGAAATATTAGCGTTACATCTGAATGCGTCAACTAAGACTCAATTGACTAAAATTTGTGTAGAAAGTATCAAAGCCAGATGACATGAGGATTTTATCTTTAAGAATATTCTTCAGTCTTAAATAGGGAAAAATATGACACACCACTCATGTCTTATTCCTCATCTCCCGAACAAATATGTTCGAGCACCAGACTCAAGTCTTTCGAACGAACAGATTACGAAATACGTTAGCTAATCTCGTGCAAGGTAGAGGAGTCTTAAAGGAAAGCTTGGCACACGATATGTAAGCTTGCAGAGCGAAGTTGAAAAAATTATATATTTTTAAAAAAGCACGAAAGTAAAATATACTTTATATCAGAGAAAATAACTAATTATATCTGGCATTATTGTCAGAAAGTGAATAAATCACATTTATTATTAATATTAATGCTACGATTAATAAAGAATTATGCTACAATTATTATGGACTTTTTAATACAATAATAATTAAATTTGTCTAATCCCACTCTATTACAGATTTTTTTGAATTTCCTTAATTGGTTTACAAGAGAGCAGTTGGTGTTGACAGACTTAGAAGGTGATTAAATTCAGATTTCTCATTGTCACTTTTTTACTGAAATTAGTTTTGTAATGTAGAAAAAGAAGGAAATGTGACTTACGATGTTTTTAAAGAAAAGCGACACCATTTCTACAAGATACAGGGTTGCAGAAATGCAACATGCATGAAAGAAAATACGGGCAACTCAAATTATGGCGCAAAATATTACAAATAGAAAACAAGAACACAAAAGGCAACGAACATGCAACATTCATTGAGGGTTGTTCTATTATTGTTTGTAGTCAAGGGCCGGGGAGTCGCTGTCGATGATCAGGGGTCGGGTCAGATTGAGATTGTTGTGTCAAGTGTCGGGGAGTTCGGGACGGGGTTGTTGGGCGTCGGGGGCCCGGGGAGGCAGGGGTCAGGGGCTTCGAGGTAAGATTCGGAGGTGGAAAAGTGGGGCTTAGGTATTGCGAGCTGAAAGTGGGAAGGGAGTTGAGATTGCTGGCTTTGGAGGTTGGAAGATCAGGGTTTTATTTTATTATTTGGGGCTCGAGGATGGATTGAGGTTTGAGTAGAGGTTTCTGCCGTCTAGGTGTGTACCATATTAGGGTTAGGGCTGCCAATTCGACAGTCGTGGTCGTGGCCGTACCTCTCGTTTCAGCACGCGCTCAGCCGCTGGAGGAGGCGCGTCGCCGCCGCCGTCGCCGTCGCCAGCAGCAGCAGGAGCAGCGTGGGGGCGGCTGCGGGGCCCAGCGGGCGGGAAGGCGCTGCCCCTGCGCACAGAGCACACACTCGCCGTCACTCTAACGAGCCAAGTACAGTACGGAACAATTTGCAAAGACGTTATTACAAGTAAAATTTGAGAATGAAAACCGACAGAAAAGACACCTGTACTCTGCTGCTAATGACCAGATCATTTCACTATAATTCACAAAGAAAAGGTTCAACACACCCATACTCGCGTTTTTGCATGCTTAGGGGAGATATAAGATATCTTTCTACATATTCGCTAGATATACGCACAGTATTGAAAAAAATAGGATCATTCTAGTATTGTATTTTCACATGAACTCACTAGCAAGAAAATTGAATGTAATATAACACAACATTTTTCAATAATGGGAAAATATATATTCTTAATAGTGGCTTATAGTATACGTTTTATGACGTTCTCGGAAGTAGACCATGAAATCTCAGTCGTACTTCCGTTATAGATTGCAGCATAAAGCTTACACTACCACATTTCTTACGTGTTCTCTGTGATGGCTGAGAGCTAGGCAGAGACAGAGCCAAAAATGATTTATGATATACACAACTATGATGACACTACAGATATTTAATATTTTAATTTTTTTCTCGTATATCTCGTATATACGAAGAACATATTTTTTCATTTGAATAACAGAATCTGAACCGTGTACTCACGTTCCTCTCTCACTGAAAATACTGAGCCCTGCCGAACTCACATTTGATTGCTTGTGAACACGTTGAAAATCTTATTGTCTGCGAAGTATTGATAGGATCCGTTCGTTAGATTTCCTGTCGACGCAATCACTTACGTTGCACGGGCTTGCAAGATAAAGGTAAATTGCTTAAAGTGCATAAATGTTACAACTTTTCTAAACCTTAAATGATAATCTACATGAATATACTAATGATATATGAAGTGACACAGAAAGGTAATCGAACGGTGTTCACAGAAAGATGCTCAAAGTGAAAAAATTATTGCAAATTCATTTTCGTACCATTAATTAACTTGAGGGTTAAGTACTTGCAAAATGGCAAAAATAATACGCGATGTCACATGCATATATCATTAAAGCACGAATCAATCATTTTCATTCAAAGCACGAATAAGAATAATTAGCTCAGTAACAACTTTAAACTAACAGCTTGAAAAAACTTGTAATCATTCAAATATAATTATTTATTTATTGGCCCTATTTTAATTATCATTTATGTTTAATAATAATAATAATAATAATAATATTTTATTCCATGCAAATTCATTGATGTCTGGGGACAAGTTACAACGTGAAACCAAAACTTGTGCAATTGAACAAACCACAATACACCATAATTTTATTTATTCTATATATTGATACGTTTTCCGACTTTCCCACCGAATGAGTATGAATAATAATAATTAGACCCGGTGAAAATTAGTGCATTCGTTCCGAACTCTTCTTTTGCTTATCAGTCTGCTTGTAGGAGGTGTGAACTTATTGAACACAGTACGCACTTCATGCTGAACTTCAGCCAACCCTAGCTTTCCCACCTATTCCCCACTTCCTTCCCACCTCCTCACCCCCGGTGCCTTCACTCAATACTCGGCTCTTGCTCGGGATGTCGCGTGCCAGCTACTAATTGCTTGCGGCTAGGTATCGACCGACCTGCTCCCCGCCACACACCGGCGCCTGATGTTGTTTACAGCCCACGTCCTCCCCCTCCTCCTCCTCCTTCTCTATCCCCACCCAGACCCGACATGGACGGCGCGGGTGGGGGCGGGGCAGAGAAGTGTATTGGGAACGGCAAGTGAGAAGAGGCAACCGGATAATCCCCGTGGGCGGTCACTCATCTCGTGAGTGACCAGCGCCCAACACTCCCGACGGTTAAGGGGATGGGGAGGTTTCTGTGAACCAAGAGCAAGATTTAGAAGAAGAACTAAGCGCATCATGTGGTATTTCAATAAATAACGGTTGCAAACCGACGGCTCACACTTTGAGCCAAGAGCCGTCTTTTCTTATCCAGTTAAATACCAGCGGTACAGACAGAGAAATGAAATTTCAGAGTTGATCATCGAATAAAAAATTGAAGTAACGGGTAAATAATAAAAATTCGTCCGTTTGTGTTCACTTTACACCAGATAAAGTTAAACTTTATTCTAGTATATTCAGTAATAAAATGAAGGTTTCTAAATATTTGTAACAATTATGTTATTACAACTCTGTAGTTGAACCTTGAATGTTTGACGTCCGATTTCAATACTATTCTTCGGTACTCAAATGGAAGCGGTCTAACAGCCTCCTTTGCCAATTTTCTTATCTCGTCAGTACTAAAACATATTCAGGTACTGGCATCGTAATCACCTGTGTATTCAGTGCGACGTCTATAAAGACAAAGAGAACACGATAATGTGAAATTAGTACCAGTACATATATTTGAATTTAAATCACACAGATTACTGTTTAAATTAACAATAATTAAAAATTGTTAATACGCGACAGTAAATATTTAACTACTGGAATTTATTTTAATTTGCGTTATGTAACAACAATAAAACTTTTATTAATGACATACGCTGCGATAGTTTTTTTTAGAGAAACAGTAAAAACATTATGTTTCTTCACGCCCTTTTTCATTTAGTGACCAGCGTCTAACATTCCCAACTTCTAAATAAATTTGTTTGTTTCTTTACTTCCAGTTCCATAATTTTTACTTTTCGAGAAATGTCTACTAGAACTTATCTTTAAATCAATTACAAAGTCGGTCGATACAACTCGTTGTTTTCTAAAAAATGGCAGTTCATCTCGAAGATAAAAATGTTTTATCCAGAGAACGACAATTAAAGTGCGGTGCTATAGCTGCAAGTTCCAAATTTCAGTCTCTGATGACGCTCCCGATATTCATAAACTTTGCTCCTCTTGAATGTATAAGGGCATTGATTACCTACGAAGTTGAATGAATGTCGAACCGAATTAATGGCATTAAATTAGTAAGCGTTTAAACAACGATGAGTCTGGTTAGTATATCTCTCAAATAACTACAAACTACCCTTACGTCTTCACAACGGCCCATTAAACATCAATTACTTTCATTAATTTTGTCCAACATTTTAAGAGCAATTAGTGCATCAATAAATGGAAGTGACTCCTCCTACAAACTCTACGTCCTGTGTACTCAGTGTCTGGACTCTCTCAGCAGACTAAAGGAATAATTGATAGCCTCGCTCTCCTATAACACTCGCGTTCTCTTGAAGCACCGCGAAGTCACAACAACGCTTGAGTTCCCACCTCCCGGCAGCTTCTAGAAAAATGGCTAGTTCACTTTTCTTCCGCGAGAGGGGAATTTCAAATGCTGCCTCCCTTTCCTTTTACCCGTACTATTTTACGGTCGTTTCTATGATTATATCGTCTATTATTCATGCAGTAATCCATCATCGTTTTCCGCTTTCGCCTTCACAGCTATTCGCCCTTCCATTCCTTTCACAGTGGCGCGCGCCATTTCTCATCTCGCAAAGAACTGCATAGCTCCCTGCCCCCCCCTCTCTCTCTCTCTCTCTCTGGCACCCTGCTAACTCGTTCTCTTGCTCCTAGACAGAGAGGCCAAGATGCAGAGTACCCTCACAATATTTACTCTACAAATCATTCTCTCCTCGTTTCACTGAAGAATGTGTAGGTTGCATTCATGCATATTTCATTAGATGTTGGTTGTTTTGAGCTAAACACAAATTGTTTTGCTCGGTCTATTGTCTCTAAAACGTTAATAACTGACATTTTAATTTCTCGATTATAAACCAATTTCTTGCCTAAATGTTTCATCTTTATCTTAATTTGTGGCACTAATAATGGCCACAAATGACTCGGCAAAATACTCGTACTTTTTGTTACTATGACACCTTTCATTGACGAAAACTACATGTAGAACGGCATACCACGTCCACCTCATGGAATTTGATGAAACTAATGATTGCTAAGACTTGAACAGCGACAAAAATTCACGACCAAGCAGTGTTAGGTATCATGCCAACGAAACTACCGCAAAAATGTGATGGGATATCAAAACATTTTACTTCGAATTTATAATAATCGTGAGAATTTTTGTTGATGCATACCAGTTATTGGTAGTTATGACTGATTTGTTCAAATCATATAATAAATAACAATTCTCATTGTAAAAGTAGTAACGAAAAAACACAAAATTGCGTGTAGATCTAGTTCCAACCTGTTCCCCTTCATTTCCCCACATGATCCTAACTTATCTTTCATCTACGATCGAATCTTTTTCTATAATCTTCCAAAAACTATCGCCTTTCCTTAGCGTATGATATATTTATATAAAGGATTAGATAGCTTTAAAAACGTGATAATTTGTTGCATATAACAAAGTCAAAATATTACTGGGTGCTAGAACAATGTATGCAAATGTATAGTAAACTCTCAAATGAATCCACAGAATATTGCAGATATTTTCGAAGTACATTAAAACACAAGGTGATTTAAAGACGGGAAAATTGTAAAAATGTTTTTTATTTATTTTTTACCTAAAGCCCAGCTATTAAAAAAATCTTAAATAAATTCACAACATTGTGTTTTGAGAGAAACTTTTGAGATTTTTTTCGAATCTGTTCTAGGGTTTTAAGAAACAATAAAATATATATGTTTGTTTCTTTACGTTTCAATTTGGCGCAGAGAAAATATCAAAAAATGATTCTTGATGTTTCTTATTTTCTTTCAATCAGTATAGATAGTATTAGTTGACAAAAAATAAAATTAAAAAGCACATTTTTGGTTGTAGAAGGGTGTGGGTGGTGGGACGGGGACTAAGAAACCTTTAAGAAATATTATTTTTATGTTTCACTACTCATTTGTCTTTTGGCTGAGGGTAACTTTTACTATCTTATTCAGGGGTTCCCTTTTTTTGCAACAAGATAATTTAACATATTCTATAAAAAGAAATAGCACTTTCCATTAATGAAATAGAGATTATTTTGTTTCCAAGCGGTAATTGGTGTAATTTCTGAGAGAAAACATAACCCACATAAATTGTTTTA